GTTTATTGCATTACACCCTAATTTTGACGTATTAACATACACACACACACACACACACACACACACAAAAGAGTGTTTTATGTGCGTATCTTCATGAATATGCAATTGTATCAGTATATCCTACTTTTTGTCATATTCATATCACAGCTATTTTTAGCAATATTCTAAAACCTATCAAATCAACGGGAAATGCAACAATATAATTATCGAACCCAAGGAAAAGCAACATCTTTTATTCTTCCAATCAATGCGCATATGCAACAATATTCGTAGTCCCTCCAATCAACATCATTCTTATGATCTAAGATTGAAAAATGGCCCGAAGGCATTCCACAAATAGCATATCGTATAAATCATTTATCTTCAATAATGGAATGAGCGTTTTTTGTGTGCCTTATCTTTGCGAATATGTAAATGTGTTGTGTATCCTACTTTTTCTTTATCAGTTGTCGTGTATTGCATCAAACCTTACTTCTGTCAATCTAAAAACTATCTAATCAAGAGAAAATGTTACACTGTTTTTGTTCTTACAATTAACGCATATATGCATCAATATCATTTGTTCCCCTGATTGTTGGGTTTTTTGATACCCAATAAATCTCGGGCTATGATGTTAACGTGGGTTAATATTATTTCATAGGCATAGGCCGATGAATGAAATAAGTCCAACAACCAAGTCCATGAGCTACACCCGGCCCAATTGTATTCCTTATGAATGACTTGAATCTTGGCTCATTTACCCCTTTAATGGCCCAACTTAAAGCCTAACTCTAGAGTATATATATGAATATAACCCTAGCCTTTTTGTGATGATGAGTGTGTGATTTTGAGAAAAGAAACTAGTGAATCCCGGCTGCCCCCCTTTTGTGTGAGAAAAAGGTGTTTAGAAGTGTCCAAAACGCTTGTATAACGTGTGCAATTGGTGGTTCTTTCATAGTATACATTTGTGGTGTCTTCTCCTAGCCTTTGTGGCCGTAAATCATCATCCCTTCTTGTCCTACGTGGGTAAGATTGTATAGCAACCAAGGTGAATCAATTAGTTGAGGTTTGGAGCCGTTTGGATTGGTTGTTGGTAGAGAAAGGTACGTTGGACTGAGCCTGGAAAACCACTATTTGAAGATCTTTTGAGAGAGCTTCCGCAACACTGATCAACATCATTCCAATTATCTAAGATTCAAACATTGCTTTGAAGCCATTGTATATCTGGTAAATCAACTCAATCATTTATAACTTTCATACTTAAAACGAATTTTATGTACCTTATCTGTATGAATATACAATTTATATGTAATATTTTGAAATTTTTAGAATGTGACAGAATTTATGAAGATAATGTAGCTTACTAGTCATTAGAGAGTCCAATAACGATTCAGGTCCTATGATGAGAAAACTCCAACCCATTTAAAAAATTTATTTTGTTATTTAATTATATTCAGTTTTCTAGAATTTATATTAGAGTTTATTTTAGTGGAGAATTAAATCTAAGAATTTATCTTGGACATTATTCAACTAAATAATGATTTAAATTTGAATTATTACGATTACCCAACTTACCAGGTTCCAAATAAGAAAATATTCCTTATGGTGATTATTATTGTTTCTTATTCCTTCCCTTCCTTAAGTAGCTGCTAGATTAAATGAAAGAGACCAAAACCTTCCAAAACAAGCCCCAAAATGGGCCCCATCTCCGAATCCCCTTGGAATTCTTTCCTTCAAGTTAAGCTCTAAAACTCTAAACCATAGACCAAGAGGTGGAAGTATAAAAGGATGAACTCATTCCTACCCCCCCATAAATTTCCTACACACAGCCTCCCTCTCTTCTTCTCGGCCCCCTTCCATATACACACATTCACACGATTGCCTCTCAAGAAGGAAGAAGAAAAATGCAGCGCTAGAAGGTGATTCTAATGGCTGTTTTGTAAGAATTTCAAGTTCTCTTCATAAAAAATAACAAGATGGAATTCCTATGTGCAAGTAGAATACATCTATTCTCATAGATATGAATTTTTGTGGAATATTTCATGCTAAAAGATTATTATTATTATTATTTTTTGTTGTCATCCAGACTAGAAAGAGGTATGATCAATTTTTTTATACAAGAAATAAAGAATTTTGTATAATCTTTCATGGTTGAACGTTAAAAAAAAAAAAAAGAAAAAAAAAAGGAAAAGGAATTGTGATCATTGATCCCCTAAGCTCATTGGAATAAGAAGTGTGGTATGATGTTGTACATTACTTTTAACTTTAATTTCGTATTGCACATAGAATTAATAGTATTCTTATTGAGTTTTCCCCAAAACCCACTCCTTTTCCTTTTGCCTACAGATTAGAAGCAGCCGTGGATTGAGGCATGGAGTTGGCATGATGAAAGTTGCCTGCAGCTGTTTTGAGACATTGCTGAAATTTTTAAGGTTTGAATGCTTTTATGGATTTCTATTTCCCTGTTTGGTTCTAAACATATTTAAGGGTTTTGTGTACTTAGAAATGGATCTATTCCATGTCATATGTTGTGTTTAATGACTGCAGAATGTAACAAGAAAACTGTCCAGTGTATTCCAGCACACAAGTTCAACTTTGAACGATCACACTAGAATGTGTACTTCTAAATTTGAGTTGAAATTAATTGGTATTAGACCGAAGAATTTCCCACCTCTAAGATATGAAATCATGTTAACTGGATGACGTGGAGTTAGTTATGTGTGTTTTAATGAAAGATGACAGTGTTGGATGGGAAACTATTCTTGTGTAGTTCAGAAATTTAGTTGAGGCCCTTATTGGACGAATTAATTCAGGAAAATTTAATATATTTTTGGGATAATATATTATGAGTTTGTCCAATAAACTTAGAAGTTATTATGACCATCTAGAATGTTACATGTTCTTAGAAGTAAAACCGAAATTGTGTTGTTCAGAGAAAAACTGTTTTAATGCATATTGTGTTGTAGGTTGATTTTTTTTTTTTCATGAATTTGAACGTGAAATTTCAATATAATATTGTTGGTGGAGAGAGTTACGAGCCTTCCATATAATTTTTTTTTAAGTTTTTGTGATAGTTTGGGATGTCAAATACCTGTAGAATAAATCTGCAGCAAGGTTGATCAGCGAGACTGATCTTGTACAATTTCTTAATATCTTGATGCCTCAAATAGAGTTGAATTTTAAATTTGTAGTACGTCATATAATAGTGAATTTAATGTTTAATACATCAATTTTAGGTATTTTTAATGATCATACATCATGTTAGGAATATTTGACAATAAACTATGCTGGTTCGACTTTGTGACATCGTGTGTTGATCAACTTGTAGATACTCCTATTTGATTGAAATGTCTATGAGTTTATGAAAATGAATCGAGTTTAATTTTATTATACAATAAATTATTGATCTTTATGAACCCTAAGAAAGGAAAAATATGTGTGAGATATGTTATTATGGTAAAACATCCAAGTAGCTTATATGTGATGCATTCAGTTCCGCATTATTTGTTTTACCCGCTCAAGCTATGATTTCAAGTGAAGTGATAGGCCCCTACCATATTTCAGGGTGTTACAGTATATCTTACTTTTTTCTTTTTTTTTTTTTTTTTTTTTTTTTTTTTTAAAATATTTTTTTTTTTTTTTTTTTTTTTTTTTTTTTTTTTTTTTTTTTTTAAATAGCTGTCTTGTACTGTTACAACCTACTTTCCGCAATTTAAAAATTATCGAATCAAAGGAAAATGGGAAATATCTTTTGTTCTTCGAATCAACACATAATATGCAACCATATTCTTTTTCCTTCAATCAACGTCATTCCAATAAAGATTCAAACTTTTCGGGAAAATTGTTCACCTTCACGTGCTATGTCTATTCTCTTCTAGGTGATATATAAAGGTTGAACCCCAACCTTGAGGATTCCCCTCGCTCCGCCCCTAGAACTTTGTGAGGGAGACTCTTCTAGGTGATATATGAAGTTATTCAAAGTTACTCATATATTCAAATTAATTTTGAAATAAATAATTCAAATTTTTGGTATGTAGAAAAAAGCTGCTTCGAAAAAAAATTCTTGACCTGGGGCACCAACTCAGTTGACCTGAAACCAGGCTATATATGTAAGCTTGAAATTGTTATGTTCGATTTCAAATGTGACTTTAAACACTCGTTCAAAATTATTAATTCTTACGTAATAAATATTTTCTTCCCCTACTTGATTATAAGTTACAGCTTACAATGTGTCCTAGCATTTACAGTTTGAGAAACCGTTCACTTCAAACAAATTTGTTAAATTCAAAATAACATCTAAAAAAAAATCTTATAATTAATATATATAGCTTTCATATTGGCTGAGTATGATTCTATGATCAGATGATTCGGTGGGGTTTGGAAAAGACATATCAGATGTTTTTTGTTCGGCGTGATCTTCGTCCGAGGAATTAAATGGTCACATCAAATGTTTAAGGAATGAAATGCTGCATATACAAACTATTTTGTCTTTGTACACTTTAAGGAATCATCACTTTACCATAACTTTTCCAAAAGAAATTATTCTACTATCACTAAACATTAATTATCGGATAAGATTCAATAAATAAAAGTAGTTCATCTAAACATGTTTTAACTTTTAATAAGTTACTTCTAACATTTATTTACTTTATTAGTAATTTTTTTTTAAGCTTAGCCAAACATGCATTTAGAGTGGAACAAATTTTTAGGTTCACTTTTAAGAAACAATTTCAACGTAATTGTTAATTTTTTACGTTAGACATATATAAATATGTAATTACCCGACTACTAAACTAATTTGCAATGTCTTAGATGGAAAACCAGGAGCGGATAGAATATAAAATAAATATATTCACCTTGTTATTCTCTTCATTCTACTCCCCCCACGCCCCCTTTTATCACTTTGAACTTATAGATGGTCAATTATTTTCTGTTCATAATTCAGATTTACATGAATAATTAATTTTCCTCCTTGCTCAAGAGCAAGAATTATTTAATTTGGAACCCTTTTATTGAATGCTAAATACAAGATATATAACATATATTTTTGTAAATCACCATATTCGTGGAATATTTATTCATTATTAAAAAAAAATAAAAAAAAAACGAAGGTCAAAATGCATATTCAAAAGGAGGGCATATGACCTGACTTCGTGTACGTAGATAAAGTATGAAAGATAGACTATTCGCACACTATCTCATGCACATTCTTGTTTGATTCATCATATTTATGTCTAAGTCTCGAGTGTGAAAGAAAGACTAAGATATGAAATTCGGAGCTAAGCTTTTTCATATCCCCTATTCCGATCAATATTCCTTTTTGAGAATATGAAATCATGCCCACATTTCTTAATTGCCTTTACAGTTTGAAAATTGTATTTGTACGAGGGCACCAATTGAAAATAACATCGTTGGGGTCTCTTGTCAAATATACGACTATATAAAACCCATATCCTTTGTGTGTGATACACATATATTTTGTAGAATTCGTTTCATTTCGTACAATGCCTAGAGACAGAGACCCTCTCGTTGTTGGTAGAATTATAGGGGATGTTTTGGATCCATTTACAAGGTCCGTACCACTTAGGATTGTATATGCAGATAGGGAAGTTAATAATGGATGGGATTTCAGACCCTCTCAGATTGTTAACCGGCCTAGGGTTGAAATTGGTGGTGATGACCTTCGTACTTTCTACACTCTTGTGAGTCCATTTATCCTATTGCATCTCGATTGATTTTCTTTTATGAGTACACACGACGTCTCAATCTCTAACAGCTTCAGTTCTTAGATAATGTCGATGGATTCTTGGTCATCAGTATAGTTTTCTGCTTGCTGTTGGATATTGGTTAGGGTTTCATGACATTAATCTTCATCTCCTGCAGATAATGGTGGATCCCGATGCTCCAAGCCCAAGTGAGTCTAGCCTCAGAGAATACTTGCACTGGTAAGAATCTGCCTACTCATCTCTCTCCGTTTCAGATAAATGGAATGTCCTTTTTTTTTTTTTTGGTTCCTTATATTCTAGATTATCAAGATAAAACAAAAATAACTTGTTGGAAACAGCGGCGGATCCAAGAATTTAAGTGAGCATGAGCAGCCGTTGATCGTTGATCATCGATGGCCGCAATAATAACTAATGCTGTGAATTGAAATTACTTATATCATAGTTCGAATTGTAGGTGTGAGTGTAATAATATTTATCAAGCAACAATTTGAAGTTTGAAAAATGGTCTAATTATTTACTTTCTTGGTTTGATTTGCTAATAATTTTAGTTTAATAGAAAAAAAAAATGACTATTTTAATAATATCACTGTAAGGTCGAATTTTATTTTCCTAATAAAAGGGGTATATATCTATTACTTAAAAAGAACATATAGATTTTGTTGCATGCATTGTCAACTTTCACCAACTGTCGTAGTGGTCTAGTGTTTCATGATTTCAATGGAGATCATAGGTTCGAATCTTCCATTTGCACAGGTTTTAATGCCTATTTGTTCCAAAATGGTGAAAAATATTAAACTAAAATAATTGCAGAAGGGAATTGCTCTCGTTGAGAGTCGAACCCAAGACTCCCTTTCACTTTAAAAATATAAATACTTTGACAACAAAAAAATCGACCCGACGAATCCAGCACGGATGATCGTGAAAGCTCGTCAAGTGCTGTGTTTGCTGCTGGTTGGAAAGTACAGCAATATGTATTCCCCTTTGGGGACACTTCTTTTTTACTAAACAAAAATTCCTTGTGTTTTCTGAAATATTGCTGACAAGGGTCATGTTTTACTTTACAAATTGGATATATAGCCCCTGTTCGGATTTCATTCTAATTTTAACATATTTTATTATTTCTCCATTTCAATCACATTTTTAAATAAAATAATATTACACATAAATTCAAAACTTTTCCTTCTTTTATAAGTACACATTCTCCAAAAAATTATTATTTCAAAATACATATTTTCCAAAATCTCATTAAAATGGAGTCCAAATAATGGCATAATGTCTAAGCACTTGCTAATCTTCACCGATTTTTTTTTTTTTTTTTATCTAGCCAGGTTAAAAAATAAAAATTATAGTTTAATGTATAAATAAATATAGACAAGAGGTGAATAAGTTAGAGTACATGGAGTCACTTGAAATGTATATATAAAAAGCCTTCATTTGAGTCTCATTTTAAAAAAAAAAAAATTCATTTTTCTCCAAACTCATTTTCAATCACACATTCTTCAAATAAAATAATTTTATACGTAAATTCTAATTTTTTTTTTCAACTTTTTAACATCTTATTCTCCTTAAAAAAAAAAAAAATTATTACTATTATAAAATCTATTTCCTAAAAAATGGGCTCCAATAGAGCCAACATGATTTTGTTTATAAGCAATTTTGTGTCTTCATCGTGTCCATCACGTGGGGACCATATTGATTTTTTCAAAAGTCTCTTGAATAAATTTTATGAATGAATGTTGGTGCATGGCACGTGGTTCCAACAAAGTGTTACACAATAAAATGTTATAATTTCATGTCTGGTTTGCTGATGTCATGTGCAAATACGTAGCAATACATAGAAACGCACGTTAACACACATGCATATTAAATCGTAGAGTAATATCTTAAAGAATCAACATTTTTACGAAGCAATAATCCAAACCCTAAAATGTTCATTGTTGTTTTCGAAGACGTACTAGTTCGTTTGTGCTTGAAATTCGATTGCTCCTTCAAACTTTAGTTTGAAGGTTAATCTTATTGAGATGACCTACATAAACTATCATTTCTGTATATGGTTTTCCCGTTTAAGTGAAGTACAATTTTATCGATAAAAATTTTAAAGGGAGAAATATTTTTCAATTTGTGTTACAATTTTCCTTTAATATTTTTTAACTCAATTCCTGTCCCATTCTTTGTGAATCCTTTGTTCGTAGGTTGGTGACTGATATTCCAGCAACCACTGGATCTAGCTTTGGTGAGTAGTCAAATTTTAATTTTATGTGTTTCAACTCTCTCTCTCTTTCTATCTAAACACCGCCGCATATTGATGAAAAAATAAATTCAAGGACTCGTTGAAGATATGATATAAACAAATTAGTTTGTCACCTCTAACCACTTAATATTAGATTTCACTTAAATTTTTAGATGAGCCGATTCCTAAGCATAGGAATACTATGTAATTATTTATTCATTTGTTGGATTTTTAATCGTCCTCGTATATAAAAACTTAGGCCAACATGCTATTATATGTCTCTGCTTTTTTGTTTGGACATCCGTAACAAACTCAAACATGGTCCATGATGTCCTTTTCATCATGTCTGAATCTTTACATCGTAAGTAGTCCTTGGTGGAGAGGTATGTTCTTTCTTTTTCCACGTTTAGTGCTAACCATATATTCTTTACATCAAGTCCCTGTTTGACAGAATTTTCTTTTAAAAGAATGAATTTTTAAATAGTAAATTTTTGGAGAATGTGTGGTTTAAGAAAAAGTTTTGTGCTTTACGTGAAGAATATATTATTATGAGAATGTGTGGGAGAAAAAAAAATCCACTTTAATATAATACTTGAAAACCGATCGAGTTTAAAAGTCGCTTTTTAATCACCACTCGTCTATAATGATGCATTCATAGCCTAACACAATACATGTTTGTGTTCTGGGGCAGGACAAGAGATTGTTTGTTATGAGAATCCACAGCCAACAATGGGTATCCACCGCTTGGTTTTCGTGTTATTCCAACAGTTGGGCCGCCAGACAGTGTACGCTCCGGGGTGGCGCCAGAATTTCAACACCAGGGAGTTCGCCGAGATCTACAATCTTGGCTCGCCCGTAGCTGCCGTATATTTCAACTGTCAAAGGGAGAGTGGCACGGGTGGACGAAGATCGTAAAGTGGAGAATATATGTAGAAGCTTTAATTACTCTTTATTCCTTCATATAGGTTGCAAATCGATAGGGGTCTTGAACTTTTGTAAAAGGTCTTGCAAGCTTTGAATAAAATAAGAAAGCAGCTATTTACATTAGAAGCACAAAGCTTAAATCACCAGATAAAGTGTGTGTGTAAAATAGATGTAAACATCTTATCTATAGCTTCAAGTTACTATTCTACCAATTTATGATATACTTCTCCCATTTTTTATCCTGCATAACACAGGTAATGTCCAACTGAATAAAGATGAAATTAATCGCTTATTTCAATAAAAATAAAGGGAAAAAAAATCATATATGCATAAATACAATCGTGATTTCATTCAAAAAAATCCTGATAATTTATGTTACAGAGCCTGACCTAGCATGGCTTCAGCACCGAGATAGAAAAGCTTGTCTTTCATTGGCATCAAGCTCTTCTACGTACGGACATTTTAGCATTTCACTGCGGCCTTCAAAAGAAGTAGAATTACGAACCTTATATTCAACAACATATAATTAAAATAATATTCAATGAAGAAAAAAATATATGTCTGCGAGGAACAAAAAGATGGTACCATTTATTTCATGAATTCCATGAAGAAAACAAGAAAAGTGTGAAGTGACGAGATAAATGATTTTCCATTGGTTTTTGTGTTGGACTTGTAGGAAGAAATGAAATAGGAAGGGAAGTGGAACGATGTGGAGAGATGCACATTTCAATGTTAGTCGATTAATTTAGAGGGATATATTTTTATTTAATTTTATATATACATATATATACATTAATGGTGAATGTAAATAACGTTCCCTAAAATAAATACAAATTGTGGAGTAGTTTTCAATGCCTTAGTTTTTATATTTTTATTTTTCTTTATACCTTCTCTTCTTCTAACTCCAGTTGATCTTTACAATGTAATTACAATATTCAAGAATATTGTGATTAATTATATAGAATAATAGCAAAATATTTATATTGAAAATTCATTTGTGCAAATTAGTTTGGAGAAAGAGTGTACATTTTTTTTTTTCTATTTTCATTCTTTTTCCTTTGTTGCAGTATTTCCCTTTTCATTTCTTTTATTTTTTAGCTAGTTTTCGAGATAAATAGAGTTAATGGTGTTGATAATCCTATGTGAAGTGGGTTGCTGCTTTTGTGAGTCCAGCCCAGCTACACTAAGAGGCCCAAGTGAAAAAAACCAACTCATGACCCGGTTGATGACCCAATTAAAGAAGAAACCGGTACCACTACAACAGCTTAACTAAAACGCGTTTTTGGTTGAAATAACAACTTTCTTGATCTTTGACAAGTGTTGACTGTTGAGCCGTTGGATTGAGGTGATTGAGCTGCTTTCTTTTAAAAGGAGTCGAGAAGACTCTAGGGTTTGGCCTCTCATTCATTTTCACGCAGCATATCCTTGAGTTTACTCTCTGTGTATTTTGTGATTCTTTCATTCTAATCTTGAGTGATCTTGGTAGTGAGAAACTTGATTTTGTGAACTCTTGTGTGAGTTCTTATTGTGTAGAGAGGCTGTTGTGCTGTGTGCGATCTGGAACTGTGTGTTCCGTGTAATCGATACTTTGTTGGTTTTGACCGTTGATTTAGTGGATTCGAGCTTATTACCCCATGGATGCTCAATGGGGATTAGGCGATCATACGGATCGATGAACCTCGGGGCTTCGGCCGAAAAATCTGTTGTGTTCTTTATTTTTCGTTCAGATCTACATTTTTGGTCTTTAGTCTTGCGAACATTCTGTGTTGTTTGTGTATCCTGGTTCCTATAGTAGTATCAGAGCTTAGGAAATCTTGTTTTTCAGTCTCCTTAGTTACGGGTCTGAAAATCCAGTCGTCGGCCAAAAGAGAAACGGCATATCTTTAAGATCTGCCAACATTATTGTTGGAAAAACATTTGTCTTAGTGTTAAACTGAAGTTTTGGCACTGTTAGTGTGCTTCTATATCTTCGAGTGTTGGTGTCGAATTTTCTTGAAAGGAAACCGATCTTGCTGTTTTTAAAATTTTTGACAGAAAGTTATTTTTCTTTTGTTCTTGCATTTGAAACTTGTTGGTGTCGTTTCTGAAAAGAAATTTCTCACATAAGAGTAACATTTCTTGGCACTTATTGAGTGTTTCTCTTTTAAATAGGCAGTGTTAGTGTGGTTTTAAAACTAGACAGAAATCGTTTGGGTATCCTTTGGCGAACTTCTTCTATGCTGCAGCTGGTTGTGACGTTTCTTGCAAAATAAATAGAGTTTTTTGTAAAACTAGTAAACTCTGCAGTATTTGTGAATCTTATTTTCTTTGGTGACATACACAAATGTTTTTCATGTTTGGGTGTTGTGGAACCTGCAATTTTAAGTAGACACCATTCTTGTGAAATAATTGTAGTGTTGGTACCTGCAGTCTATGAAAATATTATTTTGGGTAATAAAATCATTCTTCAAAACCAAGGTCTCATTGAACCTTTCCTAACTCTACCTCTGTCTAGGGTTCCCTGAGGGAATCCTACAAACTTTGGAGATTAGGGCTTCGATTCAAGAAACCTACAATTCCAAAAATTATATTTCTATAGCTAAAATTGTTGTACCTTCTATGTGAACTGTACTAATACTTTCTTTGATTTCCTCAGGTGTTGAATTATTTAAGAATAATTGCTACAAGGTACACACATTTCAGTTACTCCTTTGGTAGCTTGCTGTGTGTAAGTTATGTATTGAATTCATTGCATGCTTAGGTGATCTATATATTGATTATGTATTAATCTGTGTGATATACTACTGTACACATCACACTTAAGCACAATAAACATATCCTGTGAAATTGGAATATCTTGACATTGATCTCGTTGACTGAATTACTTGCTGTGAAATATTTTGTTATATCATATCTGTGTACAATTCACACTTCTGCACACCATGAACTCTAAGGTAGATGTCCAAATTTGGGGTGGAAAAGGAGACTTTAGTCTCTGGCGCCAGAAAATGAAAGCACTTATGTTACAGTTAAAGTGTGCTAAGGCCATTGATAAATCTTGGCCAGAAACCCTATCTGATGCTAGGAAAACTGAATAAGATGAATTGGCCTGGAGCACCTCGTTTCTGCACTTAATTGACTCTGTGATTAGGAAAGTAGGAGAAACTAAAACTGCTGTAGGAATATGGACTGCTTTAGAAAAACACTATCTCACTAAGACTGTTCCAAATAAATGCTTTCTTTGGAGACAGTTCTTTAGCTTTAAGTTTGATCCTAATCATGACACGGGAGATAATATAGACAGATTTAATAGGATCACATAAGACTTAGCAAACTGTGATGAGAAAATATCTGATGAACAGAAGGTAGTGGGCCTACTTAATGCTCTAGGAGATAAATATAAAGACATAAGAAATACTTTAGAGTATGGTAGGAGTGATTTGACTGTTGAAATAATTCACAGTTCTTTTTTGAACAAAGAACTTGAATTAAAAACTGAACACAAAGATGTGTTCCATGTTGAGGGTGTGTCATCGAATGAAAAACCACATGTTAAAGGTGTCAGTAATTTCAGTCTTTCCAATTTTAACAAGAACAAGAATTTCAACAAAAAGCAATGGAATAACACCAAAGGAAAAGACAAGAAACAAATTAAAGGAAAATCGAACAGCAGCAGTAACAGAAAATGTTTTTACTGTGAAAAATCTGGTCATTTTATTAAAGACTGTTTTAAAAAGACAAATGACCAAAAGAATGGATTTAACACTGAAAATGCTTCTTTAGTAGTTGCTGATAAGCATAAAGAAGCTGGTGTCAATATTGGAGTTGCCTATGTGTCTCTAACTGAAAATAGTGATCAGGACTGGGTCCTTGATTCAGGTTGTTCTTTTCATATGACACCCAATATTGGCTGCATTTCAGACTTTTGTAGTCTAGATGGTGGATTTGTTAAACTTGGAAATGATGAGTCATGCCAAGTGAAGGGAATTGGAAATGTGCTGCTGAAATTTAAAAATGGCCAATATATGTTACTAAAACATACAAGATATGTTCCAGCACTTAGAAGGAATCTCATATCCCTAGGAGTTCTTGATGATGAAAAATACCAGATTAGTATTAAAATTGGTTTTACAAATATAACAAGAAATCAAGAACTTATTGTCAGTTCACCTAAGCTCAATGGAATTTATGTAATAGGTGCTGAATTATTTCACCTAAAAATTTTGTGAACTCTGTCACGCATCTCGATAAATCAGAACTGTGGCATAAAAGACTTGGTCATTTAAGTGAAAAAGGTTTGAAAACTCTATCGTTTCAAGGGGCATTTGGAAAGGACAGTGTTCAAAAATTGACTTTCTGTGAACACTGTATCATGGGAAAACAAGTCAGACTGCCTTTTAAGACAGGTCTGCACAAATCCCAAGATGTCCTTGAATATATACATTCTGATTTATGGGGACCAGCACCTGTTTTTACTATATCTTGTTACAAATATTATCTTCTTATAATTGATGATTATTCAAGAAAAACATGGATTTTCTTATTAAAATCTAAGTCTGATACTTTTACAATTTTCAAAGAATGAAATGTATTGATTGAAAATCAGACTGGTAAGAAGATAAAAATTTTGAGAACTGACAATGGGCTTGCATTTTGTAATATCGAATTTGATCAATATTGAAGTAAACAGGGGATAATGAGACATAAAATTGTGAGCTATACCCCACAACAAAATGGGGTTACCGAGAGGTTTAATAGGACAATTCTTGAGAAGACCAGATGTATGTTAATCAGTTCTGGCCTTCCAAAAGTTTTCTGGGGCGAGGCTGTAAAGACAGCCTGTTATCTTATCAATAGATGTCCTTCCAGCTCTTTGAATAATAGAATTCCCGAACAAATCTGGTCTGGTTCAATTCCAGACTATTCTCACCTAAGAATTTTTGGATGTGCAGTTTATGCACATCATACTGAGTCAAAACTAGACCCTAGATCGTTGAAGGGTGTGTTCTTAGGATATAGAGAAGGGGTTAAAGGGTATAGATTGTGGTTAAGAGATGAGAGGGGTTATAAGGTGATAATAAGCAGATCTGTTATCTTTAATGAAGATAATTTTCCTTGTCTTAGTGACAAATCTAGTGAGAAGTTAGGAAAGGATGATTTTATTATCACAGAAATTAATCTTGATAACCACAATACTGATGAGCAGGCTCAATTTGAGGTGGAGCCACA